AGGGCCATACACAACACTGGTGTAGAGGGCAGTACACAACACTGGTGTAGAGGGCAGTACACAACACTGGTGTAGAGGGCAGTACACAAACACTGGTGTAGAGGGCAGTACACAACACTGGTGTAGAGGGCAGTACACAACACTGGTGTAGAGGGCAGTACACAACACTGGTGTAAGGGGCACTACACAACACTGGTGTAGAGGGCAGTACACAACACTGGTGTAGAGGGCAGTACACAACACTGGTGTAGAGGACAGTACACAACACTGGTGTAGAGGGCAGTACACAACACTGGTGTAGAGGGCAGTACACAACACTGGTGTAGAGGGCAGTACACAACATGGTGTAGAGGACAGTACACAACACTGGTGTAGAGGGCAGTACACAACACTGGTGTAGAGGGCAGTACACAACACTGGTGTAGAGGGCACTACACAACACTGGTGTAGAGGGCAGTACACAACACTGGTGTAGAGAGCAGTACACAACACTGGTGTAGAGGACAGTACACAACACTGGTGTAGAGGGCAGTACACAACACTGGTGAGAGGGCAGTACACAACACTGGTGTAGAGGGCACTACACAACACTGGTGTAGAGGGCAGTACACAACACTGGTGTAGAGGGCAGTACACAACACTGGTGTAGAGGACAGTACACAACACTGGTGTAGAGGCCAGTACACAACACTGGTGTAGAGGACAGTACACAACACTGGTGTAGAGGGCAGTACACAACACTGGTGTAGAGGGCAGTACACAACACTGGTGTAGAGGACAGTACACAACACTGGTGTAGAGGACAGTACACAACACTGGTGTAGAGGGCAGTACACAACACTGGTGTAGAGGGCAGTACACAACACTGGTGTAGAGGGCAGTATCACAACACTGGTGTAGAGGACAGTACACAACACTGGTGTAGAGGGCAGTACACAACACTGGTGTAGAGGGCAGTACACAACATGGTGTAGAGGGCAGTACACAACACTGGTGTAGAGGACAGTACACAACACTGGTTGTAGAGGGCAGTACACAACACCGGTGTAGAGGGCAGTACACAACACTGGTGTAGAGGACAGTACACAACACTGGTGTAGAGGGCAGTACACAACACTGGTATAGAGGGCAGTACACAACACTGGTGTAGAGGGCAGTACACACACTGGTGTAGAGGGCAGTACACAACACTGGTGTAGAGGACAGTACACAACACTGGTGTAGAGGGCAGTACACAACACTGGTGTAGAGGGCAGTACACAACACTGGTGTAGAGGGCAGTACACAACACTGGTGTAGAGGACAGTACACAACACTGGTGTAGAGGACAGTACACAACACTGGTGTAGAGGGCAGTACACAACACTGGTGTAGAGGGCAGTACAAACACACTGGTGTAGAGGGCAGTACACAACACTGGTGTAGAGGACAGTACACAACACTGGTGTAGAGGGCAGTACACAACACTGGTGTAGAGGGCAGTAACACAACACTGGTTGTAGAGGGCAGTACACAACACTGGTGTAGAGGGCAGTACACAACACTGGTGTAGAGGGCAGTACACAACACTGGTGTAGAGGGCAGTACACAACACTGGTGTAGAGGGCAGTACACAACACTGGTGTAGAGGACAGTACACAACACTGGTGTAGAGGACAGTACACAACACTGGTGTTGAGAGGGCAGTACACAACACTGGTGTAGAGGACAGTACACAACACTGGTGTAGAGGGCAGTACACAACACTGGTGTAGAGGACAGTACACAACACTGGTGTAGAGGCCAGTACACAACACTGGTGTAGAGGGCAGTACACAACACTGGTGTAGAGGGCAGTACACAACACTGGTGTAGAGGACAGTACACAACACTGGTTAGAGGGCAGTACACAACACTGGTGTAGAGGGCAGTACACAACACTGGTGTAGAGGACAGTACACAACACTTGTGTAGAGGACAGTACACAACACTGGTGTGAGAGGGCAGTACACAACACTGGTGTAAGGGCAGTACACAACACTGGTGTAGAGGACAGTACACAACACTGGTGTAGAGGGCAGTACACAACACTGGTGTAGAGGGCAGTACACAACACTGGTGTAGAGGGCAGTACACAACACTGGTGTAGAGGGCAGTACACAACACTGGTGTAGAGGGCAGTACACAACACTGGTGTAGAGGGCAGTACACAACACTGGTGTAGAGGGCAGTACACAAACACTGGTGTAGAGGGCAGTACACAACACGGTGTAGAGGGCAGTACACAACACTGGTGTAGAGGGCAGTACACAACACTGTGTAGAGGCCAGTACAAAACACTGGTGTAGAGGCCAGTACACAACACTGGTGTAGAGGGCAGTACACAAACCTGGTGTAGAGGGCAGTACAAAACACTGGTGTAGAGGGCAGTACACACAACACTGGTGTAGAGGGCAGTACACAACACTGGTGTAGAGGGCAGTACACAACACTGGTGTAGAGGGCAGTACACAACACTGGTGTAGAGGGCAGTACACAACACTGGTGTAGAGGGCAGTACACAACACTGGTGTAGAGGGCAGTACACAACACTGGTGTAGAGGGCAGTACACAACACTGGTGTAGAGGGCAGTACACAGCACTGGTGTAGAGGCCAGTACACAACACTGGTGTAGAGGGCAGTACACAGCACTGGTGTAGAGGGCATTACACAACACTGGTGTAGAGGGCAGTACACAACACTGGTGTAGAGGGCAGTACACAGCACTGGTGTAGAGGGCAGTACACAACACTGGGTAGTAGAGGCAGTACACAACACTGGTGTAGAGGGCAGTACACAACACTGGTGTAGTGGCCAGTACACAACACTGGTGTAGAGGGCAGTACACAACACTGGTGTAGAGGGCAGTACACAACACTGGTGTAGAGGACAGTACACAACACTGGTGTAGAGGGCAGTACACAACACTGGTAGTAGAGGGCGTACACAACACTGGTGTAGAGGACAGTACACAACACTGGTGTAGAGGCCAGTACACAACACTGGTATAGAGGGCAGTACACAACACTGGTGTAGAGGGCATTACACAGCACTGGTGTAGAGGGCAGTACACAACACTGGTGTAGAGGGCAGTACACAACACTGGTGTAGAGGGCAGTACACAACACTGGTGTAGAGGACAGTACACAACACTGGTGTAGAGGGCAGTACACAACACTGGTGTAGAGGGCAGTACACAACACTGGCGTAGAGGGCAGTACACAACACTGGTGTAGAGGGCAGTACACAACACTGGCGTAGAGGGCAGTACACAACACTGGTGTAGAGGGCAGTACACAACACTGGTGTAGAGGGCATTACACAACACTGGCATAGAGGGCAGTACACAACACTGGTGTAGAGGGCATTACACAACACTGGCGTAGAGGGCATTACACAACACTGGTGTAGAGGGCAGTACACAACACTGGCGTAGAGGGCATTACACAACACTGGCGTAGAGGGCAGTACACAACACTGGTGTAGAGGGCAGTACACAACACTGGTGTAGAGGGCAGTACAAAACACTGGTGTAGAGGGCAGTACAAAACACTGGTGTAGAGGGCAGTACACAACACTGGTGTAGAGGGCAGTACACAACACTGGTGTAGAGGGCAGTACACAACCCTGGTGTAGAGGGCAGTACACAACACTGGTGTAGAGGGCAGTACACAACACTGGTGTAGAGGGCAATACACAACACTGGTGTAGAGGACAGTACACAACACTGATGTAGAGGGCAGTACACAACACTGGTGTAGAGGGCAGTACACAACACTGGTTTAGAGGACAGTACACAATACTGGTGTAGAGGGCAGTACACAACACTGGTGTAGAGGACAGTACACAACACTGGTGTAGAGGGGAGTACACAACACTAGTGTAGAGGGCAGTACACAACACTGGTGTAGAGGACAGTACACAACACTGGTGTAGAGGGCAGTACACAACACTGGTGTAGAGGACAGTACACAACACTGGTGTAGAGGGCAGTACACAACACTGGTTTAGAGGACAGTACACAACACTGGTGTAGAGGGCAGTACACAACATGGTGTAGAGGGCAGTACACAACACTGGTGTAGAGGGCAGTACACAACACTGGTGTAGAGGGTAGTACACAACACTGGTGTAGAGGGCAGTACACAACACTGGTGTGAGAGGGCAGTACACAACACTGGTGTAGAGGGCAGTACACAACACTGGTGTAGAGGGCAGTACACAACACTGGTGTAGAGGGCAGTACACAACACTGGTGTAGAGGGCAGTACACAACACTGGTGTAGAGGGCAGTACACAACACTGGTGTAGAGGGCAGTACACAACACTGGTGTAGAGGGCAGTACACAACACTGGCGTAGAGGGCAGTACACAACACTGGTGTAGAGGACAGTACACAACACTGGTGTAGAGGACAGTACACAACACTTGTGTACAAGACAGTACACACCACTGGTGTAGAGGGCAGTACACAACACTGGTGTAGAGGACAGTACACAACACTGGTGTAGAAGGCAGTACACAACACTGATGAAGAGGGAAGTACACAACTCTGGTTTAGAAAACAGTACCCAACACTGGTTTAAAAAGCAGTACACAACACTGGTGAAGAGGGAAGTACACAACTCTGGTTTAGAAAACAGTACACAACACTGGTTTAAAAAGCAGTACACAACACTGGTGAAGAGGGAAGTACACAACTCTGGTTTAGAAAACAGTACACAACACTGGTTTAAAAAGCAGTACACAACACTGGTGAAGAGGGAAGTACACAACTCTGGTTTAGAAAACAGTACACAACACTGGTTTAAAAAGCAGTACACAACACTGTGAAGAGGGAAGTACACAACTCTGGTTTAGAAAACAGTACACAACACTGGTTTAAAAAGCAGTACACAACACTGGTTTAGAAAACAGTACACAACGCTGGTGAAGAAGGCAGGACACAACATTGACGTAGAGGGCAGGACACACTACTTACCTTCTTCTCTAGCTGCTTCTTCATAAGCAGCAGGTGGTCAAGGTCGTCCTCCTGCTGCTGCTTGAGTTGTTTCTTGAGCAGCTCGATCTCTCTCAAGCACCAGTCGTACTTGCGCTTGTACAGTGAGGCCTCAGCAGCGTCATCGTAGTCGTGTTCAGCATCACCGTTCACGTTGTTTACTGACACCACCTCACACTCCAGCGCTTGTCTCTCCATCTCCAGCTTACCATTGACTGTTGTCACCAGTCTCATGTTGGCCTGTGTGCGGGCAACACTCTTGTAACATCTACACTCTACTAGCACCTGTGTGCGGGCAACACTCTTGTAACATCTACACTCTACTAGCACCTGTGTGCCAGCTACACTCTACTAGCACCTGTGTGCCAGCAACACTCTTGTAACATCTACACTCTACTAGCACCTGTGTGCGGGCAACACTCTTGTAACATCTACACTCTACTAGCACCTGTGTGCCAGCTACACTCTACTAGCACCTGTGTGCGGGCAACACTCTTGTAACATCTACACTCTACTAGCACCTGTGTGCGGGCAACACTCTTGTAATATCTACACTCTACTAGCACCTGTGTGCGGGCAACACTCTTGTAACATCTACACTCTAGCAGCCCATGTGTGTGTTGGTCACTGAGCGAGAAACACTCTTGTAAGATGTACACTGTAACATGTTTCTAGGGAGAGTTTTAGGTCAGGATTGGCATCAGTGTTCAGTGTGGTGTATACAATGTACACAAAAGTAAGTGTGAAGGTTTTTAATACTGAGTAAATTCCATCATCTGAGTGATAAAACACGCGAGGAATACTAGCAATTTGCTGAATAAATGCTTAGAAACCCGAGACTAGCAATCTTTATGAGGACATGTTCGGTCAATTAAGATTGCTAGTGCTGCCCATGTATCGTACTCTTCTACTTGTCGCTATTATGTACTATTTGTAACTTGAAACTTTTGCCGAGTGAGGGAGGGAGTCCTGCAGTGTGCAGTCATCACTTAAGAGTGTCACAGCGGACTTAAGCACATACATGTACACATATACTATACTACGGTGAGGTAAGGGGTAGTACATAGTAATGATGTGTGAGGTACATAGTGATTATGTGTGAAGTACACAGTAATTTGTGAGGTACATAGTAATGTGTGAGGTACACAGTAATTTGTGAGGTACATAGTAATGTGTGAGGTACACAGTAATGTGTGAGGTACACAGTAATGTGTGAGGTACACAGTAATGTGTGAGGTACATAGTAATGATGTGTGAGGTACATAGTAATGTGTGTGGTACACAGTATACTTGGAAAATATGTATACCTAAGAATATTGCTTCTTGTCTGTCGATGCACTGGAAATGTCCAAGTGAATACTTTTAGAGTTGTTTACAAATATTATGAATAAGATCTCATTATTAAGAATGAGTTTGTTATTATCCAGGTGGATATCTTCACCAGCTGGTCGTTGTTGTTGAGTTTGTTATTATCCAGGTGGATATCTTCACCAGCTGGTCGTTGTTGTTGAGTTTGTTATTATCCAGGTGGATATCTTCACCAGCTGGTCGTTGTTGTTGAGTTTGTTATTATCCAGGTGGATATATTCACCAGCAGGTCGTTGTTGTTAAGTTTGTTATTATCCAGGTGGATATGTTCACTAGCTGGTCATTGTTGTTGAGAACCAGCTGGATCTGTCATCTGACGTACATTGCACAACTTCATTTATTTTCTGCGATATACAAAACGTAGTTTACATGCAATAAAATACTATTAAGCCACTAGCATGCAGTGTTATGTTATCTGGAAGGATTGCTAGTTCCCGGAGGCACTGGGAGGTCAATGATATAACTAATGGATAACAAGAGGGCCTAGGACACCTCCTTGAGGCACCCCTGTGTTGACTGGTAGAGTTGATGAGATACTGTCATTACTGGTCACATGTTGGTGACTGCCACTGTGTATGTGAGAGCACGGCCTCTTGATGACAATGTTGTAATCTCAACATCAGGATGTTGATAACTACTGTTCCAAAGTGTTTCCTTAGATCGATAAACAGGATGAGTTGTCCTGAGAGGTGGTAATACCCAAGAGACAGTAATCCCAGATCTGCTGCAAGGAAACATTTCAAGTTGTAACTGATGACTCTTTAGTGGAATACTTGAGGATATCTTCATCGCTCTACTGAAGTCTACCATCTCGGGTTGACATTATTGAAGTCTACCATCTCGGGTTGACATTATTGAAGTCTACCATCTCGGGTTGACATTATTGAAGTCTACCATCTCGGGTTGACATTACTGAAGTCTACCATCTCGGGTTGACATTACTGAAGTTAACCATCTCGGGTTGACATTACTGAAGTCTACCATCTCGGGTTGACATTACTGAAGTCTACCATCTCGGGTTGACATTACTGAAGTCTACCATCTCGGGTTGACATTACTGAAGTCTACCATCTCGGGTTGACATTACTGAAGTCTACCATCTCAGGTTGACATTACTAAAGTCTACCATCTCGGGTTGACATTACTGAAGTTTACCATCTCGGGTTGACATTACTGAAGTCTACCATCTCGGGTTGACATTACTGAAGTCTACCATCTCGGGTTGACATTACTGAAGTCTACCATCTCGGGTTGACATTACTGAAGTCTACCATCTCGGGTTGACATTACTGAAGTCTCCACCTAACATGTGAGCAGTTCTGCATGGTGAACTACGGCAGCGTAACATAACTAGCTTTTGTTCCCAATGTGTAACTATCATATACAATAGTGTAGCAACACACTAAATTGTAACAGTTGTACCACTATAGTAGTTGTCCCACTGTAATAGTTGTACCATTGTAATAGTTGTACCTCTGTCATAGTTGTACCATTGTAACAGTTGTAGAACACTGTAATAGCTGTACCACTGTAACAGTTGTACCCTTCTCATAGTAATAGTCACTGTAATAGTTGTACCATTATAAAAGCTGTACCAATGTAATAATTGTACCATTGCAACAGCTGTACCATTGTAATAAGTGTACCATTGCAATAGTCGCACCACTGTAATAGTTGTACCATTGTGACAGTTGAACCACTGTAACAGTTGTACCACTGTCACAATTTTACCACTGTTATAGTACCAATGGAACTTTCCCTGAGCTGAGGTGAGACTTGGAACTGCTAGTTAATAAACTCGTATACATGTACAGAAATGAGCAGGTGTAGTGTGAGCAGGTGTAGTGTGAGCAGGCGTAGTGTGAGCAGGTGTAGTGTGAGCAGGTGTAGTGGTGAGCAGGTGTAGTGTGAGCAGGTGTAGTGTGAGCAGGTGTAGTGTGAGCAGGTGTAGTGTGAGCAGGTGTAGTGTGAGCAGGTGTAGTGTGAGCAGGTGTAGTGTGAGCAGGTGTAGTGTGAGCAGGTGTAGTGTGAGCAGGTGTAGTGTGAGCAGGCGTAGTGTGAGCAGGTGTAGTGTGAGAGGTGTTAGTGTGAGCAGGTGTAGTGTGAGCAGGTGTAGTGTGAGCAGGTGTAGTGTGAGCAGTGTGTAGTGTGAGCAGGTGTAGTGTGAGCAGGTGTAGTGTGAGCAGGCGTAGTGTGAGCAGGTGTAGTGTGAGGTGTAGTGTGAGCAGGTGTAGTGTGAGCAGGCGTAGTGTGAGCAGGTGTAGTGTGAGCAGGTGTAGTGTGAGCAGGCGTAGTGTGAGCAGGTGTAGTGTGAGCAGGTGTAGTGTGAGCAGGTGTAGTGTGAGCAGGTGTAGTGTGAGGTGTAGTGTGAGCAGGTGTAGTGTGAGCAGGCGTAGTGTGAGCAGGGGTAGTGTGAGCAGGTGTAGTGTGAGCAGGCGTTGTGTGAGCAGGTGTAGTGTGGCAGGTGTAGTGTGAGCAGGTGTAGTGTGAGCAGGTGTAGTGTGAGCAGGTGTAGTGTGAGCAGGTGTAGTGTGAGCAGGCGTAGTGTGAGCAGGTGTAGTGGTGAGCAGGCGTAGTGTGAGCAGGTGTAGTGTGAGCAGGCGTAGTGTGAGCAGGTGTAGTGTGAGCAGGCGTAGTGTGAGCAGGTGTAGTGTGAGCAGGCGTAGTGTGAGCAGGTGTAGTGTGAGCAGGTGTTTACCTGGAGAGAGTTCCGGGGGTCAACGCCCCCGCGGCCCGGTCTGTGACCAGGCCTCCTGGTGGATCAGAGCCTGATCAACCAGGCTGTTGCTGCTGGCTGCACGCAAACCAACGTACGAGCCACAGCCCGGCTGGTCAGGAACCGACTTTAGGTGCTTGTCCAGTGCCAGCTTGAAGACTGCCAGGGGTCTGTTGGTAATCCCCCTTATGTATGCTGGGAGGCAGTTGAACAGTCTCGGGCCCCTGACACTTATTGTATGGTCTCTTAACGTGCTAGTGACAAACCCCCGCTTTTCATTGGGGGGACGTTGCATCGTCTGCCAAGTCTTTTGCTTTCGTAGTGAGTGATTTTCGTGTGCAAGTTCGGTACTAGTCCCTCTAGGATTTTCCAGGTGTATATAATCATGTATCTCTCCCGCCTGCGTTCCAGGGAATACAGGTTCAGGAACCTCAAGCGCTCCCAGTAATTGAGGTGTTTTATCTCCGTTATGTGCGCCGTGAAGGTTCTCTGTACATCTTCTAGGTCAGCAATTTCACCTGCCTTGAAAGGTGCTGTTAGTGTGCAGCAATATTCCAGCCTAGATAGAACAAGTGACCTGAAGAGTGTCATCATGGGCTTGGCCTCCCTAGTTTTGAAGGTTCTCATTATCCATCCTGTCATTTTTCTAGCAGATGCGATTGATACAATGTTATGGTCCTTGAAGGTGAGATCCTCCGACATGATCACTCCCAGGTCTTTGACGTTGGTGTTTCGCCCTATTTTGTGGCCAGAATTTGTTTTGTACTCTGATGAAGATTTAATTTCCTCGTGTTTACCATATCTGAGTAATTGAAATTTCTCATCGTTGAACTTCATATTGTTTTCTGCAGCCCACTGAAAGATTCGGTTGATGTCCGCCTGGAGCCTTGCAGTGTCTGCAATGGAAGACACTGTCATGCAGATTCGGGTGTCATCTGCAAAGGAAGACACGGTGCTGTGGCTGACATCCTTGTCTATGTCGGATATGAGGATGAGGAACAAGATGGGAGCGAGTACTGTGCCTTGTGGGACAGAGCTTTTCACCGTAGCTGCCTCGGACACCACTCTGTTGACGACTACTCTCTGTGTTCTGTTAGTGAGGAAATTATAGATCCATCGACCGACTTCTCCTGTTATTCCTTTAGCACGCATTTTG